GCCACGACGCCCGACTCATCAAATGGGAGGGGTGCTCGCTCTCGCAGTGGGTGGCTTCGTTGGTCTTGGCGCACAAAAACCGACAGACCATTTTCCCATCAACTGGGTTTTGAATACAAAAAACAACGCCCATGGATGGTCTTGCCCATGAAGTACATGGCCTTCTTGGGCAAAAAACAGCGCCGTATTGCTAACACTAAGAACCGATATTGGAGCAAAAACAATGACACCTTTGGGGTTCCAAACACTCTTATTAATTATCAAATGGGTTCTACCACATTCTCTTGAAATGAACATCTGCTGAAGAATCTTTCACGAATGCTTAATTGTTCCGGAAACACTTTCCTTACACTTACTAATGCAGACGCAAAATGTGTTGTTTAATACTTCAATATATTATACTTATTTCACATTTTTAATCAGGTAATGTTTGTGCTTCTGACCACTGAACTGTGCGTTACAATATGAAAAATTTTGAATGAAAATTCAGTTTGCACAATCATCACCTTCAATTGAAATACTAATATGTTGTCTTGTAATATTTTCATTAACGGTTATTTATTGGAAAATTATGAACAATTAAAATTTAAAAGCGTTAGTGTAAAACTGTCCCCCGTATAGCCTACGAGTTCCGCCAATTTCACAAAGAAGGAACAACCGCTCCACAGTAGAAACAGAAGTGGCAACGAGTGGGTGTCGGTGTAACTGGCAGGAGTAGCAGTGAGTAGTGCTGACACGCGGGGAAGGCGTTTTCGCGAGGAGGGAGGCGGCTGAGGCGCAGGCACGGCTAATGGGGAAGCGGAAGCAGAGGATGTGGCGCGGGCGGGGGCGGGAGGGGTGGGGGTGGGGGGCGAGTGGATCGCGACGGCTGAGAAGGGGGCGCCGGAGGCTGGCCCCGGCCTCCTCGGCGCATCTGTCCGTCTCGAGACGACAGCTGCAGCTTATCTGCCGGGTCAACGCGGTTTCGCTCAATCGTCGTGTTGTTGTGCGCGTCGGAGCCCGGGCCTCCACACGCGCCCGCTGCCCGCCGCCGCTCTACAAGCGCCTTGTTCATGCGCGGCGCGGCGCGGAGGCGACACGCAGCAAAAAAATTGGGTTGGGAAGCCACTCCGTTCGACGTGGCGATAAAAATTCTACTAATTCCAGCGAGCGCCGTAGTATTTCAAGCGGAGAAGCGAGCTGGCGGACCCGAGTAGTTTCGTCACTGACGAGTGTGTGACGTGAGGATTACGCACCAGAACCGCAGGTTAAGAATAAAATACGGAGCTCTTACCTTGGCCGAATAATATTCCGTGCATATCGAAAATGTGCGCGCCACGTCGTTTCGCTGATGAAGCCTCAATAAACCGTGGCCTCGACAGCCATGCTTCAATGCAACACATTGAGACGGTTGACGTTCATTTCGGAAGTCTCACGTCGCCGTCCTCTGTGCTGAAAGAAAAATTAATCGAGAAATTAAAAACCAGTCGAATTGTGTAAATTGGGAGTTGTTTTTTTAAATTCTTGTGTTAATTTTTCTTTTTGAACAAAAATATTCATTTATTTTGTAAATAATAAACATTTTATATGATTCTGGAGTGTTTATATGCTTCTGCAATGCAAATTATTGCCTTGAAAGCATTTTTTCAAACCAACATTATATATATAAAATTGCTTATGCTTAATGCAAGCCGGGATTCGCCAAGCCCTTAAAAAAGAATCTCCAACGGGAGATACGGATTGCGCCCAAGAAATGGGACATCAGAATCTCTAGCTGTCGAAACAAGTTGATGGAAGTTTGATTGAGGGGCAGACTCCGTACTTACGTTGGCAGGAAGCAAAAAAGGGAAGCATGATTAACTGGAAGTATTTTTTGAAACGTTCGGGGTATTTAAATAAAAGCGTGCTCATGACATTGATCTGTGTGCAAATCGAACATGTTGGTATTTTCCGCGAAATGACTTCACTCGGGTAAAGAAAATCTGTTGAAAAAATAATAATGTGTATCCTTATACCGTGACTTTAGTACGCAAACTATTCGTATTTTTCAAGGGCAGTAATAACCTCGTGTGAAAAGTAAAACGTCTGATCGGTTGTCCACGTAATACGCATCATGGACACTCGGATCTTCATGAGACTTCACCAGCAGATCGTTCATAATGGAAAACGTATTTTCTCTCAAGATTATTGAATTGTAGAAAGTGCAATTTTGAACGAAACTAATCACTATGGCCGTGATTTATATGCATTTGCATAGTTTTTTCTGTTAACAAAAACATCCCGTTTCAACAAATTGTATAAGTTTTGAGCATTTAGAATCAATTTAAGATATTCTCGCATATTTTTGCGTGCATCACCATAATTGCTTTGGGCCATATTTGCATCATTTTGTTCCATATTCACCCCTCATCCTCGGAAAGAAGTCCAAAAGTTACAGTTCCACCAGCGTGTAAGCGGCTCTGGCAGTCCTCGCGTCACTTGCTATGGTGCATCATGTGACCTGTTCTGAAGCAATGGGCTTCCGAGGATTTGTTTACGTTGCCATAGCCACGGATCAGCGTTACCGCTCGCCTGACTCGTACGAGTCACACGAGAAGCACGCTAAGACCATATCAGTCGAAATGAAATGTTCATCCGCCGAGCGCCTATGCGTACACACGGCGCGAACGAGTTGAGTTAAGAGTAATTTATCTTGAATTGAGAGGAAATCATATTTTTGTTGCAATACCAACATTTTTATTTTGTGAAATGTACATTAATTGAATCTTCCATTATTTTACTAAGAAATGAGTGTTCTTCAAAATTAAGCCCTTAATTTCTGTATTTTTTTTTGCTGTAAAAATATTTTTCACTTTACTCTTTATTTCTACACTTGCTCATTACACTATTTCGCATATTTTCCTTTTTTAATTGCATATATTGCCAAATATATCTATGCGCATATTTCGCTGCTTTTAATGCATATAAATCACAGCCCTACTCATCACTGACGTGTCATATGGAAATACGAGGCGTGAAACTATATTTGGATGAACCCATTGCGAGAGAACAGTTTCGGGGCAGCAGCTCGTACGCCTTTGAATCAGGTAATTCGCTGACCGACTCGAGAGGCACGTGTTCTTCCTTTCTACCCTCTGCTCGGAAAAGAAATGGCTTCCGCCCCCTCCCCCAGGTGCTTTCAGGGCGAGGGTGCAGCTGTCCTTCATGGCCCAGTCCTCAGCAGATGGGGGCAGCAATTCGAGGGATGTTCCGCACGAGGTCTTTAAGAAGCAGAGCTAGTGATGTTATTGGCTGGAAGGAAGCCCGTCTTGCGTCGTATATAAGCTTAGTAGCGATGTGAATTACGCGTCCGGGACGCTCTAGGTGTACACCAAAAATAAATATTTTAATAACTAAAAATACTCCTAAAAAAAAAAAAAAAAAAAAAAAAAAAAAAAAAAAAAAAAAAAAAAAAAAACTAGTGGTGATAAACAGCACATACTTTCTCGCCCATAGCAACGATTAATACTACTTTTACCGCAAATTCTCTGAATTAACACATCTCATCTTAAGTCATCATTTTTGTTAAAACTCATTACAAATTGCTGTCTCGGTGGCTCAGAGCGAAATCGCTCGCCTCTTACTAAGGAGTTCGATTTCTATTTCTTTTTCTTCTTCTTCTTTTTCTTATTTTTCTTCTTCTTTTTCTTATTTTTCTTCTTCTTTTTCTTCTACTTCTTCTTTTCTGAACTATCTCATGTGAAACTTGTTCTAACAAAACGAGTTCGGCTGCTTCACAAGGGCTAGTCCAACCCCTGTTAAGAATCCTAATTCCTACCCGTATCCCTATCCTAATTTCCTTTCAATTCTGGCTGCTGGGTAGTGATGCAGGAGCGCGTAGTAGGATGCGCGTACGAGGCGCATACGCGAAGATTCTACCTGGCGGTCCTCTTGACAACTGACTGCGACGAGACGAGACAATAATGACTTATCCAGGTAATGGAGGATTACTCCAATGGAGGAGGACGCCGAAGGACGCGGACTATTTAACGGAGGATTACTCCCTAGTGCAAATCGCTCAACGCCCCAAGGGGCTTGGAGACGCATTACGTCAGTCCAAACGAAAAACATATTTTTAAAGTTCGTAGGAAATTCGGTGCGAAAACTAGACATTTTAAAGCAAATGTCAAACCAAATGCGAAAATTAAAACTGTGTTTCATACAGCTAAATCGTGCCCCAACAATGAGACCGAGTGCACTAACAAATAAAACCCACTTATCTTGTCGCCGTTCAACAATTACCTTCTCAAATATACATCTTAGCTCTGGTGCCCAAGGCAGCGTTCAGTGGTAATATAAAACTAATATTAAATAAAACTTCGTACAATTACATTTCAAAAAATGTACTTAAGGCGGCGATAGATGGCAGCTGGCAAGAGTACGTGGCAAGTTCGTATAGCTAGCCGAGAACAAAGAAAATAGAAAATTTATACGGGAATGTCTGTGCCATTCTGTAGCACCACGAATTTTTTCTTAATTTAGTAACTGTATTTATCCACTTTTTCGTTATCAGGCCCGGTAATGAATTTTTTTCTGCCAAAAATCTGTGTGTGTGTGTGTTTTTTCAGCATTACATTACTTTTCCTTACACACTACATTATATTACTCTGTAAATATGTATGTATACGGAAAATAAAAATTAGTTATGTGGCTAATTTTCATTAAGGTATGTCTTTGTACCAGAACATATTACCTATTACTCTTTTACACATTCTATACTATAGTATTCTATTTTCATGAAAGAACAGCAATTTCAGCAGTTGAATTGATTTAGCAACTCTTAATCAAAGCAATTAGGCCATCTAGTTTTATTGTAAGACTAATAAGTAATTCTGTGATTTATGGGTGAAAGATCATAAACCTTTAACTAAATCTCTACATAAGAAAATTACCCTGCAGCCGCAGAATTGATTAGTAATGTCAAATAACATTGATTTTTATATAATGATTGATAACATTGATTTTTATCCTGGTTGTTGCAGATGCCAGCCCTTAATCCAGCGAGAGCTTTGGGTCCAGCATTTGTTATGAACAAGTGGGAACATCACTGGGTGAGTATATGAAATTTTCCTACTTTAGCTGGAGTTCTGTCCCAACACCTGAAAACACACACATATTCTTACGTACATCATTTCAAAACAAGCACAATTATGGGCTCTTAATCATTTTGTAACTAAAATATTATGCAGCATACATTATCATCATGGTTGGCTTGAAAAGATCCTAAAACTCTGTTTTGAGGGAGGATGGGAGGTGAAATTATATTTATTAAGCTGCAATCTACAGAATTAGACCTTTTTGTACTATTTGTACTTTTTGTAATATTTTGGGTGGTCCAGCTCTTCTTAGTGTCCCACCCCTTCGCAGCAATGCTGATCACGGAAGGTGAAGTTCCTCAATATCTATGAAAAATTAAATTGATGATTTGATGTTTCTTTGAATTAAATTGCATGTCTTTTTTTTTCTTCTTTTTTTTCTTTTTCTTTTCTTGTTTTTTTTCTTTTTTTCTTTTCTTTTCTTACTGGTACAATGCTACTTTTACATGTAAAACACGTATTTACTTAATGAGGAATATTTGCTCTGGGTGGCCCACCTAGTTATGAGTTATTCTAGAAAGTTGTAGTGGCACTTCTATTTTAAAAAAATGTAATTTAATTAAAATATAATAGAGACGGGTGAGGCATGGCAGTTTTGTGCGGTCATCGCTAGATCTGCCCAGTGCCTTTCTGAAATGACGCTCTCTGGTCTCAACTGCCAAACATTTAACCAAAATACAAACATTTGACTTGATTAGCTTAAAAATTTGTATGCATTGACTCTAGAGGTCACAGATTAAAAATATAAAATTACTTTTTTAAAAACAAGTTTTCAAAATTTCTTGAAAGTTGATTTCCTAATACTACTCAAATAGTACTAAAAAACAACTTGGGAAGTCCACAAAAAAAATTCTGTAGTTCAGTGTTAAAAATAATACATAAAATTATTAGAAAATAGCTCTCCATACAATTTGTTCCATTTAATCAAATTTACAGTTCCTTTAAACCTTAGAATTAACAGAAATTAATTAATAGAAAGCAACCCCTCATTAACAGTGATAGAAAAAATCATGTTAAATAAAATGTTCTTATCAATAACAAGTATTATGAATAGCAATGATTCACTTTTGCAGACATTGCGTGAATTTTGTTTAATTTCATTTTAATCTTGTGTTATTATCAAAACATGCAACATTTAGGAGTTAAAACTGCAGCTGATAGTTCCAAAGCAAAACAAAGGGAAGCACACTATTATCTGGGATAAGGGAAATGGATCGGTTCCTGCAGTGTGGTGGTTACAGTGCAAGCCGCAAACTCCAGGTGCTGGTTCAAATCCCACTTGGGCATGGATGTTTGCTTTAGTGTTGTGTCATGGTAGGTTTTGATCCAACCACCATGTATCATCTCCAATCCCCATAGCTTCCCAAACCTTTCATAGCCTGTTGAAAGACTGCCTGTGTCCCAGAGGGAAAAAGATCCATAATCGGTTGAAGGGCCACAAGGTGAGCACCACCTGGCTGCCACCAAACCTCCCTACCCCTAAAAGTGTTCAAGTACCACCCCAGGCTTATGAGTCACAAGTACTCGCCCCCAATGACCTTAGGAGCCACTGCAGAGAGAGGGAATGGAAGCTAAAGTCAAGGAAATAAGGGTGCAAAAAGTCAGTGTCATTAACTGAGGACAGGAAGCGTCTGCTGATAATTGAAAGTTAAGTTGAAGTAAAATGCCTGATGATGATGATAATGAGGGAAGAAAAGAAGAAGAAGAATTAGAAATGGGATGCCAAAATCCATGTGTGATGGCAGCTATGCATCATACTATTTTATGCAGTTTTGAAACTATTAAAAAGTATCATCAATCTTTGTAACTTTACTAAGGAGAGGCAAGATAACAAAACCTTAAAAAAATAATACACATTATTCTCCATTACAGGTCTTTAAAAAAAAAGAACATTTCTAATGTGATCGAGTGTTCATCTTTTCACATTATGTAATGGCTGTAGTTATTTTTTGGCTGCCAAACTGTGTGATAACTATTCCTGAAATGCTGTAATTCTGGCACCAATAGTTGGGGAAGTAAAGTATCTAATTTACAATAAAAATTCAGTATCATAATCAACTTAAAAATACTGAGATAATTTCAATGACTTAAATTTTAAAAAAAAGAAGAGTGTGTAAGTGGTAATGGAATATGTTTTCATGTAAATTAATGTATGAAAGGAACAATAAAGGATTATAGCATTTGGAAATCATTATTGTTTGACAAAATAACAACAATGCGCCGAAAGGATAATTGGACAGTAGATGATCATATTATAATGTATTATTGCAAGAAGCAACAGATCACAAAGTGTGTGTAGAGGTCAGTTGTGCAGATTGTAGGAAGTTGTCATAAGTGACAGTCACGCATCATGGAAAATGATTTTCTATTGAAAAAAATTGTATTCTTCAATATTTTCTTGAAGAAGCAATAATTAAGGGGAATGCAATGAAGAGAATGTAAATTTGGATGATCTAAAGTTCCAAGTACAAAGCTAAGGCATTTCTAATTAGAAATTAGCTTGGGCAAAGGAAATTCGAAATTTAAAAACTTTTGAGGTGAACAAAAAGCTGTATGGTGTAATGAAGAGGGAAGCATTTGCGAGATCAATTCATCATCCAAACATGTTGTGCAGGCTTCAGAAACAGAAGTGAAATTTTGCAAAAGAAAAGGACTTTCTTAATTTTGTTCCAAGGCCATAGTTTCAGTAAATGTTTATACATGTGTATGTATAAGTGTCAACTTGACATGACAACTTAAAATCATAAACCGAATGTGATGCTGCCAGAGGAAGACATTTTTAAGTAAGAGTAAATAGCATAGGGCCCAACAATGAGTATAAATGTAGTGTTAATAACAATTAATAACAATTAAAATGTCTCCATCAGTCCCAAATTCCTCTGAGTAAAGCTTCTATTACCTAGAACTTTTGATGAGTGATGAAGTTTTAGGCTCATGCTTAATTAATTAGTTAAATAAAACCCTGAGATATGAGCATGGCGAGTACCAATTTAATTAATGTTTTTATTTTTTTTATTAATACAAAAGCTGAGCAAACCAATATAAGTAGAAATAAAAAGAAGATAAAGGGAGAATGAATTCAATATTTCACTATAAAACACACATAATACAAATAATACATAACACACTAAATACAAAATAATAAATTATTTGTAACATTCACTTAGAATTTAGTTTTTTTTTTTATATTTTTAAAAAATGTTTACAATGACACAGTAAAGCAAATTTTACTTAAATAAAGTAATTGCTAAATTACAAAACTAAATATATGTTTTGTGTATTTTTATATTTTGATTTTTAATTTTTAGAGTGTAGTTTTTTAATAGTTTAAGTGGAAAACAGAAATCTACTCTTTTCAATGTCACTCTGTACATCTGATAAGAAAAGTTAAGTAGACTTGTGTAACTTTTGAATTTAAAGTTTTAAATTAAAATAGTAACCGTGCCATTAAGATTTTCAGTGCTTATTCTCTTATTATTCCAAACGTTTTCCCTATTAGAAGAAAAAGTTAAATGGAAAAATGTTAAGCATTTAATCTATTTTTTGGAAATTGAAATGTATTGATTCAATATTTTATGAAAACTACTATTTTAATATAACTGTACAAAAAATAATTTGAAGCTCATGTAGAGATTGCGACATCTATTGGTGTTATAAGATGGTACAGACTTTCTTGTAAAATTTATAATGGTTATATCAAGTGATAATGAATATAATTCAAAACATGTATTTCTAATATTTCAGTTATCAAGTGGATATCTCTGTTTTTGAAATGGCCTTAAACATAGTAAACTGCGTTTTCTAAAACCCACTTTATAAGTAAAATCGATCTTTTCATTGCATATATGCCCAAAAATATGTTTTGCAGCACTGAGTCCATTCATTTTAATGACATTAAACCATTCGTTGTCAAAGCAACAAAGTTCTGAAATTTCCTAATCATTAAAACTTTTATCCTCACCTCATTACTGAAGAATTTTCTCCAATTTAACTATGGAACTATGTAAAGTATAATATTTAAGGATCTTGTTAATTAGTACAGTGGTTTAGTTTTCTTTCCTATAATGTAACGGCCTATATATTGAAGATATAGTGTTACATCGAAAAACAAGTTCATTGTTTAATATTTGCTCAGTTATCCCATCTAATTGTTTAATAAGTATGAGTCTTCCAGAATATCATATAAGTGCAAAACCTCTTTTCATTTGGAAATATTTGGATAAAATGTGCTGTTTTTGAGAAAATTTAATTTCAACATTTCTAAAAATGTATCAATATTTGCTAAATAACTTAATGCATTTGTGGACATTGTTGAGTATCCACGATGTGCAGAATATTTCACAAAAATCACATTATGCAATGTTTTAATTAAAAAGGCTCAGATGTCACATGATTTAGTCCTTTGTGCAACTATACTGTTCCATGTAATTTTGAAAGAAAAAGTTGTAGTTTTTTAATAAAAATTCTTGTTTATTCATTTTTTTTATTGAAACACTTTCACTGTAATCATATTTTGAAAACATTGTACATGATGAATTGTATACCTTCTTTGTTTCAAAGTGGTTAGAAAAAAATATAATGATGAGCCTTCCAGTATCATAATGGGTTGAAAGGTTCAGCTAAAATCAAATTACAGTTATCTTAAGCAGTCACTAATGGTTCTAGCAAAACATGGCCATTTTGAGGGGTAGCTGCTTAATCAAAGTTATGAAGTTATGGAGAGTGTAGAGTCTAATCATGTGAATTGTTGTGTTCAGTAAAAAGTAAATTTTAATTACTACCCTACAAAATACAATGAATATTTTGCAAAATACTTACTTCTAATACCATATAATACAACTTAAAAAACAAACTACATTTGAATTATAAGAAAAATGCTAATGTGTTCTCACATAGATTTTACTTACTTTTTTTAAAAAATTCCTTGCAGAATTGTTTGTTAAAAAGAAATTATAAAGCATCTCTTTTTAACTGCATAGATTTGAACAAGTGCCCTTTGCATTTAACCTTTTTTTAATACATATGTGTGTATATATATATATATATATATATATATATNNATATATATATATATATATATATATATATATATATATATATATATATATATATATATATATACACAGATTAATACATGTAGTGTTGAGAAAGGTATGTAATGCTGCAGAAAATTGATTTTGAGATTTCAATGGAAATACATGTTTTGGGATCCCCTGATTGTAAAAACGTATTTTTTTCAAAATTTTCTTGTTTGTCTCACTCTCCCAGTCCATCTGTGAACACATTAGCCCCTAAACTATTTGTAGGATTTTTTCCAAAATTAAAATTCCCTGATTTTTCACTGACTCAAAACTTTGCATTTTTGAAAAACATTCTTTAAATTTTGGGATTACATTGCATGGGGAGTACCCCAAGGACATTTTCAAAATTTTTCTTCAAAATCACTATGTTTTTTCTTTAAATTTTGTGTAAGAAAAGAGTAAAATACACTTAAAAAGGTGCATAGATCTGATTTTCATTGTTAACTCAATTTTAAAATTACCAATATTTTTTATTTTTGTGTGAATCTTCCTAAAATTAGAACATAGAAGATATTCAGAAAAGCTTAAATCTATTTTCTCGAAAACTGCTTAAAATCTTGTATTTAAATTTTTTCCATGGATGATCAAACTACTCAATGACATAAATGCTGTTTTGTTATATTCTTTAGTTTTTCAAAAATTTAAACTAATGCATATTTTTTAAAACATCTTACAAGTTGTTAGTATTTCATTACATGCATTTTCTATACATTATTAAATCAGTTGGTAAATGGCCATTAATGGGTTTCGCATTTAGTAATAATTCACAGATCTAAATACATGAAAATAATGAATGGTTGTTGTATGTAGTGTGAATGTGATTGTTTATTTTTCATTGTTGAATAGTTTCAGTAAATGTTTATACATGTGTATGTGTAAGTGTCCATGACAACTTGAAATCATAAACCGAATGCCAGAGGAAGACTTTTTAAATAAGAGTAAATATTCATGAGTACAATCACTTCAAATTATTTCTTATCAAGTTTTTTTGAGAACTAATACATGTTGGGTGAACATGAGCTTCAAAATGTGTTTTCAGAAATGCTCAAACATTTTCTCAAAAATGTTCAAACATTTTCTCAAAAATGTTTCCATAGTTTTCAATGAGAATGAACGTATAGCACCAGGTTTTACTTTATTATAGTATTCTTCAAATCACACTTCAGTTTTACCATGATAGGACTGAAACATTGAAAAAATGTAAACAAATTGCCCTTTAGGCACTAATAGATTGCCAGTGAGAAGAGGTTGGGACAAAATCGAAAAGAGTGCCCAGACTGAAGAGTCAAGGAAACTAACTAGTACAAGAAAGTCTGACAGGTTGCACCACTAGTAATTATTTTCTTACTTTTGTGGCCTATGACACTTTAAAATGTCAGCACATTTTTCACCTGAAACTGTTTTTTATTTATGAGGTTCAAATGCCTTCTGTTGGCTCACATCCTTGACCTCATTAAATCCTTTTTCTGCCCCCCACTGAACCAAACTCAGAAGCACACAAGACTTCGAAATGCATTACGCCTTCTTTGGGCAGGGCTGTCTCACAAAAGATCCATTTGATTGGTTTCCTAAAAACATTAAATCAAAGGGTCATCCACTGCTCTTTCACTTATTCTAGTAGTTTTAAGGAGCTAACAGCTTTATAGAAGTCAATCTATGAAATGTGCCAGGCTACTAGCTCAGGTGACCTCTGGGAGGGAATTTTTACACACTTTATAGAAAAAATTATTGGTTTCATGAAAAAATTGCTCTTAATGGGGACCAATTCATTAAGGCGGCTGTTTGAGTAGGTTTCATTACATTTATGGTGGTCCTGTATTGGCTCCAGTTATTCTATAATGGTATGGAATTCTGAGTATGATTGGGAATGATTTACACAGGACTGATTTGTTGGCTTTTTTTGTGAATTTGTTACTTCATTAACGCTTGTGGTCTATTTTGTTTTTTACTAAAGCATTTCTTCAATTTTTAAACTATTATATTTCTCTGATTAAATATACAGGGTTGAAAGTTCAAAACTAATGCAAGTAAATTTTGTCTATGATTCACTAGAAGTACTTACTATTGATGTTTCAAATTACTTTCTGAATAAAGAAAGAAGGCAATGTATTGTGCAATAAATATTTCATTTTTAATTTTAATTGCAACTATGAAATATAAAGATATAAATTAGAAGACAGATCTACAACTAATTAAAACATTCCAAATACATCTTATCTAATTAATATTTAAGGTGCATGAAGAATATATATATATATATATATATATATATATATATATATATATATATATATATATATATATATATATATATATATATATATAAAAGTAAAAAATCTTACATCAATAATTCCTGGTTTCAGGTCTTCTGGCTTGGTCCTATGCTGGGTGGTATAGTGGCTGGCTTGGTGTATGAATTGGTATTCTCCCCTCATCGGAATTCTCGAGCAAACAAACAATCTCTTGATGGAGGTAAGAAGCAAATTTTTCAATTCAAAGAAATTATTTCTCTAATACTCCATTTGAATCAAAACACTCATCTCTTGAAATTAAAAAAAAAAAATTACATATCCAGTGGAACCTTTATTATCTGAGGTCTTATTTTAATCAATATGAAGAATCTAAAGAATTGAAAAAGAATTACATCAGCAAAATAGTCTAACCTGTAACCCCAGGATAATTTAATTATGTCAAATGATTTGGAAAATAATTTTATATTGATCACAGGAAATGAGGACAGAAAAGGAATACTCGGTGAAAGCAAGTGATCATTTCTGCAAATAAAATTTTAATGTATACTAAATTGATTTACTATTTAATATGAAACATTTTGAATTATATTTTTTCTCGTTAATTAAAACTTCTTAACTAATAAAATCATATTGTTATTATGTACGGTTTTCTTTTTTATTTGTTGCTTCCTCCCTGTCATTATCTTCAATAATGAAGGTTCCACTACTCACAATTTTGTCAAACATTTTTGTAAGAAATAAAAAAGTTCTGGTATCAGTAGTGTGACAAAATTAAAAGATGTGCTAAAATATTACTTATAAACATTTTCATGTATGATATATGACAAATTAGTACTTATCATTTGCAAACATTTCTTTTTGAATTGTGTGAGACTATATTTTCTTCCCAAAAAATGTTAAGGAATTGGAATTTTTCAAAAACTCAATATCAATACACTCATTTATGTATGTTTTAAAGATGTACATTATGAGTTAACTGAATCAAAAACATGCTTAGAAACTATATACTACATATTATGATTGTTCACAAATGTTATTCAATTCCTAAATTGAATTTAGTTTGCCAAACCTTCTCCTTATCCAGATTTTCATCATATTCAGAAATGTAATTGGTTCAGATTTACCTGTATTTGCCAAATAGTTACTTTCTGATTATGTATTGTTATGGCGTGAATTTGAAATGGATAGTGCTGGGCTTTACTTGGGACCAATAGAATAGGTCAACAATAAGATAGTAAATTAAAATATTTACTGAGAATTGTCAGCTTTAAACTTTGGTATTTAAAGTTATCCAAGGTATGGAATATCAACAACTTAGTATTTGTTGAATACTCTTTTTTTTTTTTTTATTAAGAAATATCTTTCCACTAATTATATTGCAATAAAATCATATCCTTCTTCCAAAGAATAAAAATTCACCCAAAAAATAATCTTAATTCTTTGAACTCAAAGACATTAATGACTTGTGCAATACACAGTAAACGTCTGGTGTAGTAGGTGCCTCAAGAACTTGGAACAGTGACAAAGTTCACAGGCTGCATATTCAAGTCCCTCATAGGGCATGCAAGCAATAACCATGTGATTGTGGCATTGTTAGGTTCTCATTCTTCCATATATTATAGCTGAACCATCAACCCATCATTCACTCATTATTATTCTACTATCATCCATCAGTGGAAGGCAATAGAACCACTGTGATCACCAGCCCAGGAAAGGGAAGGGCTTATTTACACTCAGAGAGAGAATAGCCCTAATCATCAAACTCTACTAGATTTGTAAGAAGGAAAAAGATGACTCCTTAAAAAAATAAAAAAAAAAAATCTGCCTATGCTAGCTTCCATTAAAGAGGGTTCCCAAAATTTCATTGCGTAATTTGAATTTTCAATGTGAATGAAATTCTCTCTGAGCCCAATTTATATTATGAAAACTTGTGGCATATGGAAGAAACTACAAAGAAATTAAAATACATTAACTTATTATGCAAGATACACTCAAGATAAGGACAAACATTTGGATAAGATTTTCTAGAAGCTCATTGTTAAATAGTCTCTGAATGGAAATAATCCATTATTCATTGTCACTGTGAGACCCTGTGCTATATCATTTTTAGAAAGGGGATAGCGGATTAAGATGGGCAAATCTGCCCCCAGGGATAAAGTATTTTCATGATGAATATTGTAATTGCAGGGGGAAAAACAACAAGTTTTCTCTGAAGTTAAATCAATTTACTTGGAGTACTTTTGTACAAATTAAAAAATAAAAAACTGTTTTTTAGCTTCTTATATAAGTTAATATTTTTTTTAACCGCATTACACCAATGAATATTGACATTAAATTATCCTTGTGATTTTTCTATATATGATAAAAGATGTTTTGAGAATTTTTTCAGGCATTTATTGCCAATTTTGACTCTTACAGTCAACAAAAAAGACAGTGAAAAAAGAAGAAAAATCCTTTTTTTCTTCCTCCAATTTTTCAGAATATCTCATGTTCTGAAGATCATAAAAAGGGCTAAATACATATTGTAGCCCTGTAAATTCTCCACAGTTTTGCTACATTTTATCTTATCAACCCTATCAACTATTATATTTGTTAATTTTATCAAGCTGTCAAGTGCAAATTACAAGATAAACGGTTGAAATGTTGGAAAACTAGAAAATTTATAGGTATACAACTTGTATTTAATCCTTTTTATCCTGCATCAGAACATAAGGAATTCTGTAAAAACAAAGGAAGAAAGTAATTTTTTTCTGTTTTCCTCTTCCTTTTTTGTCAATTGTAAAGGTCAAAATCAGTTATAAACACCTGAAAATATTCTCTAAACATCATCTATAGATATAGCAAGAATAATTACAGTCAATATTCATTAGCATGTGGTTAAAAAAAATTAATAAACAAGAAGTTAAAAACAGGTTTTTTTCATGCTTCAATTATGATTATCAACATAAAACATTTTTTATCCCCATGGGGGCAGATTTTATTATCTAATTCCCCTACCCCCTTTAAAAATTAAATTCCATTACTCCTGTGGAAATGATTGGCAGTTTTCTAAAAACTATTATGACTGTTTAGAACAGATATCCATTTTCACTCACAAAATTGTTGCATTCAGACATTTTTTGTCTGCCATGATGCATTTCCTTCTTACATTGGTTCAGTCATGAACATATATAACATTAACATTTTAATTTAATTGCTTTAAGAATTATTTAAGCCAGTACTAAGCTGGTTTATGAGGTCTACGTGATTCATTGCTTTTAGTATTGTATTCTGACTGTAATCATTCTAAGACATATCTTTTTTTCAAATTTAGTTTCAAGTAAATGCATATAAATATTGCAATAAAATAATTTAACATTTAAATATCTTTATTTACTTTTATAAGAAAGCACAGCACTGTCCTAGTTTCTCGTTTAATGAACTATTTGGAACATATTATCTTACTACAATGAAGGTATTTGAAGTTCTTATGCAACAGACAAGCTTACAAATTAACGCTTTTGCAACTCTCCTAACATTCCTCAGTTCTATCATACTGCTCACTTCTATGGCTTCTTGTGTGCTTGGCTTCTTTTCAGACAATACTTCTATTCTGACATTAATCAGTTTTAAAATAATTAATTTTTCAATGGTTTTAATTTCTGAAATCTCTTTGAATTTGCTAAATTCTTCATATCTTTAAAAGAAAATTTGCAACCCATATAATTTTATTAACAAGTGTATGTTTGTAGATCTTTTTTGATTTCTCTACTCTTTAAAATGCTAATTCCATGGAATATCTTTTTTGAATCTATTAATCAGTTCTATGTAGGTAAAGAGTTATTACAATGATGACAGTCAAGTGGTCACTAACATCAGTGGCACTGCTTCAATTCATAAACATTTAGAATTGAACAATACTATGGAATTTGCATGTCCTTTCTGTGCATAGTGCAATAACATGCTTTACTTTTCCTGCAGATTCATCGAGTATACATTCAGATGAGGATCCTTATGATGAGGTAGATAAGGCCCCTGCACCCAAGCTTAGTGCTATGGGCTACAATTCACTTTATCGGCAGGGCCATGGAACAGCAGGTGCAGGTCCCAGTTTGGCGTCCCCCTCAGGTATCAGAGCAGTTCTAGATTCATTATCATTTGCTTTAAAAATAGTATAATGATCCTTATGAACAGTTGCTTATGTGGTGTTATTTATTATACTGAATAGACATAAGCTCAAAATAAATCACCATCGCAATTGAGCACCTTCTAAATACTATCAACTTTACTTCATTTTCCTCATGGTGAGGCAATTTTTGATCCCAAATGCATATTTACCCTGTATGTGATAAGTACTGTAATATTTACTTCATTTATCTCATACAGGTGAATGACTCAATTAAGTATGAATTTTTACTTTACCTATAATATTTAAAGAAAAATGGTGGGGAGGGAGGATTTGATACCAAAGGTAATCTGTTCTATTTCCACTATTGCATATAATATTTGTATGTAAATGAGAAACCTTAAATTGCATTTTACTCAAAAGCTTGTAACATTTTATTATTATATTTCTAATATCAAACATTTTTAAAACAAATATAGTTACAAAATTTCTCAGAACTGTTTGAAGGAAAACACTCTTTTTAGAACTTGAAAAATAATGTATTTGCAATTATTTTTTTTGCGGACAGTGAAACCGGCAGAAAGAGTCACCTCCAATAATGCTCCCCCCCTTTTTTTTTACATTTATTTATTTATCACTGTCACAGTATGAAAAATAGTGAGCTAAAATTGCTTATTTTGTGGAGTGAATTAATTTTTGTTTTAAAGCGCATACATGCAAAAAGCTTCTGATAATGTGTAGATTAATTAAAAATGTATTAGTCTGCAACTATATTACAAGTAGAAAAATTAGATCTGAAGTTCTCTCCCATTATATTCAACCTCCACCGAAACTAATGGTCATTTTCTAGTGCAAGTCACTCACTGACTTGAAGGGCTCCTGAAAACAGATTTCACTGTACTTAATTCTTAGGAGGTATTATAACGCGCTGTTTTAATACAGGACTACCGTAAAAACAAAAATAATTACACAAAATGGCTCATAGGTTTCTTTGTATCCAGAAGCAAGTGCATGATTTAATCAGTAGCATGTTTAATTTTTAACAGCATGCTCCTAAGGAGAATCAAATTCCCTGTAATCACAACTGCATTTTGATTATGGGAGCCTTGTTTTTTCTACAAATAATTTTAATATGTTGATTGCCTTCTATAACACAAATTGTCATATTAATTTCACAAAAGATAGATTAAAATGATCCACAGTATAATTACTTCACGTGAAATAAAATTCTGATCAGGTGATTTTTGTTGCTTGTCAAATGAGGGTAAGTTTGGTATTTCCAAAAGAAGCAATCAATACATAGAAGAAAAAGAGAGAATTATTCAATTATGAATCAAGTGTGATTAATAGATAAATAATTATGCATACATCTTTAAATTTTACTGGGAATGACAAGAGTAATGTTTAGAAAAGTTGGTAAGAGTTCACAAAGTAGTCATTAATTTGCTTTCCAGGAAAGCAAGTGTTTTATTGCAATTTTGGTAATTAATCTTAATATTTTTAGGAACTCTTAAGGACATGTTTAAAAAACATTTATTATAATCACTACAATTTATTTTTTTGATCTGTCAACAATAGTTAGTTGTAGAAGTTGTAATATTTGTGTTTTTACAATGCATGCCTTTGTTAGGACATATGAAAACTAAATATAGTAAAACCTAAACTTTTTCCTCTAGGACCAGATGGACTGTATGCGGGTAGTGTTGCTACTGCAAGTCTGTATTCTGCACCCACTAGTTGCAAGCTGGAGCGTGTTGAATCACTGTATGGAGGAAGCAAGTCTTTATATGCCAAATCTCCTCCTCTGACTCGTGCCAACTTAAACCGATCTCAGTCGGTGTATACAAAATCACCTCCATGTTCAAACGGGGAAGGACTCCCAAGACCTGGACCTCTTGTTCCAGCACAGTCACTCTACCCAATGAGGTTTGGAGGTCACACAACAACAGCTGTCAACCAGAACGTTCAGAATGCTCAACATCAACAACGCAACGCAGATAGTGTGTATGGAGTGAGGGGTGTAAGTGCCGGTGCTAGGGCTGTGGAGGGTGGAACTGTTTACTCTGGTGGTGGCCCACCACCTGCAGGGAAAATAGCTCGGCCAGAATCTCTTTATGGAAGTGTTGCTAGGCGTCAGGACTCAGCCGACTCTGCTTACAGCTCCTATTTAAGTAACACACCAGGAACACGGGCTGCAGCTTACCTCAAGTGTGGGGGTGGAGGAAGCGGTGCAGGTGGCCGCCCTGAGGCAAGGCAGTCTCCACAACATCCACTTCTCCCTCCAGGAGCCTCAGCAAGTGTGGCATACCGCAACCAGAGACCTTCGCCTAGCCCACAGTACTGACATTTAGTTTAAAAACACAGCTCTACCTGAAGAAGTGAAGCTGTGGTTTTCATTAAACTTAGTACTCTTATTTGCAGGATACTCACTAAGATGATGAACATGATTAATCATGTTACAGACAATGCACCAATCAAGGTGTGTCTTGCACCTTTGTGCAATTTCTTTCCCCTATTTCCCCCCATGCAGTTGTGATGGACATTTGATTGAAAGGATGGGTAATGTCTGTGATTACTATTGATGGACACACTAATATAATTTTCTTTTCCTCACAGTGAAGTCTAAGTGAGAGAATGTCACAGATGAGGATATGTATGATTGCATTGTGTGTGAAAGTAGTTGTGTACTGACAATCAAAGCAGTACTTTGTATATTTCTCAATGTAAGTGTGCTATTCTTACTCAAGTCACCAAAGAGGATATTGTTATTCAAAAGTATTCAAAGATAATATTTTTCTACCTCAGAGAAAATTGTTAAAAAATGATAAAATTTCAATAGAATTTAATCAAGAACCAAATTAACCTGTGTAATCTTTCCCTACATTCAATCCTGAAAGAAAAAGGCCTACATTTTATATCAACAAAATTTAAATATTTTATTTAGTAGTTTAAAAACTGCAATGTAAATATGAATTTGTTTACAGATACTTACAATATCTTATATTTAGTAAATTTTGGTGCCACGAATCATCGACATTTAATATCATATTCATGGGCTTGAAACACCTATGAGTGGAAACAAATAATGTGAACAAATTCATTATGACAGGATGCACAAATGGCGTCCATAAATATTTTATAATATATTAGAAAAGTTGATTTTATTCTAAAAAAATTAAGACTTGAATTGATCTGAAAGATGTCTTTGAGCTCACAGGCACAAATTTTAATGTACATTTGCATATATATCATAAAGAACTTGGCGCATGTTATTGAAGCATGTGTATCACTGACTTAATAAATATATTTGTATGAAGAATGTCATTTGTGGAAAAATATTTCCAAAATAAAAGTACATAGTAATTTAGGAAGACAAATATGAAGTAAATTCAGATTAATTTAAAACAATGTATTTTGTAGTCACAAATTTTTAATACATACAAATCTGTTAGCATTTTGAGATTTCTGATATAATTATACATCTTATTTTCTAGATTTTTCAGATTTGTAGTTAACACTTTTAGATTTGTGTTTAAAATAAAAAAGCTCAATTAAATACAGGATCAACCAAATGATGTAAAGATCAGTCATTGACAGATGAGGTGATGCAAGCAAACAACTTTCTTGCCTGTTTAACTATGCTAAAGAGTGACTCTGATTCACAGGTGAGTCATTGCTCTTAGGAAGGAAGCAGGAATAGCACTTCCCAGCACCAACTAGAACTGCAGCATATATGTGTGGTTTTCCTTGTTTCCAGCATTAGCGTCATTACCACACACAACATAGCAATAAAAAAATTTAAAACAAAAAACAAATCTTAAACTTGAAGGTTCATACAATCATAACAGTTTGAATATTTAGTGACAAAGTCAAATTTTGTGGTTAGCATTGAAGAAAATATTTTTGAATTTTTGGGAAAAATATTTAAAAAAAACATCAAGCTCAAAATCAAAGTAAACTATATATAAGTTGTCATAACCCTTAGAATATGGATGATCATCTTTCTGCTTACCTTCTGCCAGTTTTTGTCAATCAACTCCCATTACAATAAGAATAATATGTTTTTTCATTAGCCAAATCCAACTGAGAAAACTGCAGTCACAAAAATCAAATATAATTCCATTTGCTGAAATCTGTTCTAAGAGCATTTGTCTAACAAACCAATTTTCAAAATAAGAATTCTTAACATTTACTATATTGACATGTTTATACTCATAATATACTAAATAATACTTAAATATAATATGTTCTGACTTGACTAAATCCAAAATCCTAAGAGAGATGAGAAATGCATTTTCATGTTCTTAATTTTTTCAAGATCTTTAAATCAATAAGTCTGGAATAAATTTGTTTCATTTCATTACATTACTGCACATTTAATGTTAACACTTCAATATTCAACAATGAACAGGTTTCTTGACTATGACTGAACTAATACTTATAAATTGCATAATATAAACACTGAGCAACATCACTGCAAGATGAGAAAACACATTTTCATTCATTCTCTCTGTTTTAACATGTCACAGGTATGAAAGGATGATTGCATAGGTGGTAACATGTTCAGAATGGAATGGTATAACACCTCAAATAAGGTCAACTGTTTATTATTAATTACTGCAATAATCACGAGGAACCATAAGAGTTTCAGCAATTGCTTAAATGAATGTCTTATATGACAAATACACTAAGAAGCAAGAGGCTCTTTGCATGCAACGTCCTGTCAGTCACTCAAAACACCCTCTCACCTACCTCAAAATACACAAATACATACAATCTGTCCAACTTCCTTATTCAATGCTGCCAATAAAATAGGTATCTTTTCTCTATCTTATATTATTTACATTTTACAAAGCTGCTTTATTTATATTGTGCAAAGCATAGATCACCCACCCCTCCTGCACAGTTCTCACACACATGGTGTATAAATGGTATGCAATAGAGAAGCTTTAGACCCACAGCAACCCCCCCTAGTGCAGTGTGACTGCCCTACACACCCAGGCAGTAGCTACAGTGGCTCAGTACCATTTCCACACACGGCTGGCAGGATCCAAACATAGCACCCGCACAACCCACACAAGTGCCTGAGCACAGCAGGGATGGTGAATCAACAAAGTACAAAAACAATTCATTTAAATACACAATAAGCGCTGGATATATACATAAAATTAACTATAACATAATTATAACAAGTATAGACTGGTAATTACAGAGCTAGGGCTAGATCACAGCTATGTACAGAGGTGAAGAATAAAAAATTAGTATTCTTATTATATAGCACAGCCATAGTGACGTTTCTGAGCGCTGAGGCGCCCGCGGCCGAGGGCCACGGAGGCTCCCAGACGCCCTCGCTCCTTCCCGTTCGAGTCCCTGCCGGCCCGGACGGAGCCGCCCCCGAGGCCCGGCGGCACGGCTCCACGCTGCACGGGGCAGCGCGGCGGCGGTCGGGCCCCGGGAGGCGGGTCACGCCGTGGCGGCGACCAGCCCTGCTGCTGTGGCGGCGGCGGTGACGGCGGTGACGAGGCTGCAGGGGGTGGGGGTGGCGGCGTTAGCGACAGTGCGCGAGGACGCGCCTACACCATGTTGGGCGCAGGCCCGCCGTTGGCCGCGGCCGGGGGCGCCACCTGCGTCGACTGTTGCTGTTGTTGCTGCGGCGCCGTTTGCTGGCTGGGTGGCGCCTGCCCTTGCGCACCTTGCCCCGACTGCGTGCCACCCTTGCTCGAGCCCAGTTGTGCCAGCGTCTCCTGCGACGCATGCGCCTTCAGGATCGTGTTCTCCAGTTCCAGCTGGTTGATGCGTTCCATCAGTTCGGCGATGCGTTCCTTCAGTACCTCCACCTCTTCGCGTACAGCGAACATGAGGTGGCTCTTGACCAGGTCCTGCGGGCAGAGCGCGCGGGGGGTGGCGGTCAGCGCGACCGCGGGGCGCGCGCGGGGGGACGCGATCGCGGGCGCCAGGGCGTTGGCGAACTCACCATGGCCTGCTCGATCTTGTTGTCGATGGCCACCGCGCTCGTGCCCGACGCGCTGAAACATAGCAAAAGGCGTTGGGTGAGCGGTCGCGCTCTCACGTGTGCGGAGGTGAATGGTGAAGGTGTCGGCGGGCAGCCAGGACGCGGCGGGCGCGCCGGCGGGCGTACTACGCCGCAGGGCTCGCGGGTCGATACCAGACGGCGGCGCGCCGAGCCGCCTGGGCGGATCGATGGCGGCCGCCGCGCCGCTGCGCGCCGCCTCGCGCCCCACTCACTTGGGGATGAAGTGCTCCAGGTACTTGATGACGACGGCGCGGAGCCGCTCACGCTGCCCCAGCAGCGCGGCGGGGCCCGCGCCCAGCATGTCCGCCTTCATGACTCGCTACTTAGGCGATGTCGCCCAATTCCAAGACGGGGAGAGGGAGCGGGGTCGGCCGCGAGGGCAGCTGCCGTCGCCGGCGGCGAGCGAGCGCGTGCGT